TTTACAGCATCCCGCTGACCGTGCGCCGCCACTTACTGCGCTCCCTGGCTATCTCGCGGTACATTTTCGGCAGCGCGGCCTTGTCCCTGCACACTGCCATGCACCGCAGATTGTGGGCCAAGCACTATGTGGCTTTGTGGCGTCATCTGTGGCGCCGCAACAAGGGAGAACACTATCGGCACTGTTATTCAGTTCTCGGGCTTTCCGGTGCTCCTACGCCACCTTCGGCGCTCGCCCTCTCGCGTGCTGTGTTGTTGCGACAGGTTTCTATTGCCGGGCCTGTCACCTTACTCCAGCTTCTTCATGTGCAGTGGCAGGAGACTCCTAAGGTCGCCTGGCTTGGGGAAATTCGCCGAGACATCCAGCACGTAGCCCAGTACGCGCAAGCGGCTAGGACACTGCTCGGCACTCGTGATGCTGTCCGATCGTTGGTCGAGGCGCTGCAGGATGACCCGGACTGGTGGGTTCGACAGGTCAAGAACGCTTGCAAGACCTCTGTTACCGATATGGTGAGCTGTGCGCCGCCGCCATCGTCTGCCATGGATGGATGCCGCGGAGCAAGACCGCCCGATGCTGCAGCTACCAGGGCGCAAGTTCACGGTGTCCCTAGGAAGGCGCATGCATGCCCCTGGTGCGAAGCTTCCTTTGATATGAGGAAGCACCTAGGAGCGCACATGGCTCGTTCGCATGGAGTCTACTCGCCAGTGCGGCATATCGTGTATACGGACACGTGCGTGCATTGCTTGAGGTGCTTTCGCACGATTGCTCGGCACCAGTCGCATCTCAAACACAATGATGAATGTCTTTTACAGACTTGTCTACGCGTGCCGCATATGCCAATTACTGAGGTCAGGGAGGTCGAAGGCACCGAGGCCAGGCAGGCCAAGAGCCTGCGCAGGGGCGCATGGGACGCTTTTACAGCGGCCCTACCCACTCTTCAGAGCCATGGCCACAAGACCCTCACCACGGCCGAGCGCATCGACCTTCTTGGGGAGGACCTCAATTTGGGTCTCCTCTCCCGCCTCTTCCGTCCCGACCCCACCTTCTTGGCATGGGTTTCATCCTTCATCCAGAGCAGATCCAAGGATGGCCCTAGAGGCTATGCAGCCGCGTTCTGGGACAATAGGCCCCAGCAACCGTCTCACCTGAATTCACTATGCAAAGGACGCGCCGCTTGACGGCTCTGAAGTCTGCAGAAGAAGAAGGCCCCCACATCA